TTACGCCAGGCTTTGGCTTCCGTCTCTCCCCAATAGGAGGGCCTCTGCATTAGACCTCCCCTACGCCTCCGCTCAGCCTCCTCCTTGGGTACACGGACCTGTTCCCAGCGTCTGGTCCAAGGATCCTCGATCCACACCATTTCCCAACCACCCGGGATATATTCCCTGCCCACGGTTATATCCCCCAACCCCCCTTCCTCCTCCTTGAACTCCACCTTCTCTTTTCCCTCCAAATCTTCCTTATTTGGCTCAGCAGCCATTAACCCTTTAAATGTCTCTTCCAAGTCACTGGTATCCACCGCACAGGATACCACACCTTTTGGGGGGGTTTCCTCTAAGTTCAAGGTGTCGGTACCCTGGTCTTTCTTGCGACCCGGGGAAACAGGAGGGCTGGTCTGTGTCCTCTTTGAGGTTTTTAAGAGAGTCGGCTCCACCAGAAAGACCCGCTGAGGTTGGTCTTTCCCTTCACATGGGCCTTATAACAGTTACACTTTCTAGTTAGCTTTAAACTACATCGTTTCATTGTCCCAGAAAAGTAGTTACCTTGGGAAGATTCTGCTTTTATCTCTTGAGAATTCATAACAGGTTGACAGCAGTCCTGCATAAATAAACACACATTTAAATCTCATCTTGGCTTTTAGGTTTGCATCAGAACAACATTTATTACCGACAATATCTGATTTTTGCATATACAATGAATAGGAATCTGGATTAACTAAGATAGGCCTAAAGTAAGTTTATCCAATAGCACTTTATATTCTAATAAGTGAAACATTGAAAACGCATATATTTTATTCTCTTATTCATCCAGATCACCTAAGTACAGATTTTTTTTTTAAAAAAAACACCTTAAATTTTAATTTTCATATCAAATTTAATGGAAAGAAGAATACTTAAGCTGTTGTACAGTTTGGGACTTTATTATTTTAAAAGACTCTCAGAAGTTCACAGAAGACCAAATGGCCTAAGCATACAATGCAATAGGCATAGAGTTACTATGTTTCCAATGGTATCACTATACGGTGTTTCCTCAAAAATAAGACATATATTAATTTCTGCTCCAAAAAACGCATTAGGGCTTATTTTCAGGGGGTGGTTTTTTTTTCATGTACAACCATCTACATTTATTCAAATACAATTGTGTCATTTGCTGGTTGCTGCACAATGGTGGAGGGCAGGCTTTCACTTAACTAGGGCTTATTTTTGGGGTAGGGCTTATATTACGAGCATCCTGAAAAATCATACTACGGCTTATTTTCAGGTTAGGTCTTATTTTCGGGGAAACAGGGTAGTTCTGTTTTACACAGTTATGTGGCATGATTATTGATGTTGTGCTGTGGCCTCAAATCATAAGCTGGCAGGGAAATAACAGAGAATTTCATGTAACAATTATGTGCATAACTGAGAGAAGAGCAAGCCTCTGTAGCCTTGCACAAGCGGCACAGTCCCAGAGCAGCCCCAGAAGAAGGGAACTGTAGAGCACTTCTGAGTACTTGGCCTATTATTACAGGAGAAGCAGCAGATCAGTTATAGCTGAACACTTTCATATTAAAAGAGTTGGCATTTGCCAAAGGAAACTTTCCTCCTCAAAGCACATAAATCCTCTTCCAGGAATTTATTCACCTAAGGAAAAGGTACTAGGAGGGACCTATGGGTACATAAGTAAAATAGGAAAACAATATTAACTGTTCCCCTTTTTCACTAGACATCTCTTCCATTTTACAGTTCTACTCCCTCCACAAAGCAAACAGCTTCTGCAAAAGACACCCTTTTCTCAGATCCACAGATGAAAATTCATCTGTTTCAGATACAAATGGGGATCAGTGTTAATTTAAGACTTCTGAAAATGATTATATAGGTGTGCACAGTAATGTCAACCAGACCAGATGGGTGGGATATAAATCAAATAAATAAATAAATAAAATAAAATAATGCAACTCCCCAGCATCATGTCCATAGATAACAAGTCTTATTGTTCAAAAACACTGCACATTAATATAAGCAATATTTAAAACAATTTGGGAAAGCTGCTTAGCATTATTACTCCCACACTGTAGATGAGAAAGACTGAGTCTGAAAGCAACTTAAAAAATTCCTGGATGAGGCAAAATCTGAATGGTAATTCTTAGGTGAAAATTTGTACTAACAATTTAGTAGTGATACACTAGATCCCAGGCTGAGGCACCCAAAGCATATACTCACAAAGCTAAAAAGTCTAGTTTTCATGTCTCCAAATTTTCCAGGGTGAAATGAGAATTAGGGTTACTCACCAACAGTTTCTGCTGTGCTTTAATGGCTCTGACGACCTGCACTTGCACTTCTCTGGGATACTGATTACGCTTGGAAGCCACGTCCACAATCAACTCATCGAGCTGATCTTCAAGGAGTTTGATGCCTGTATCTAAGTCATGTGAAAAATATTAACATTTAGTATATGAAAACTGAAAGTGTGAAGGTCTGTTTACAAGATCTGTATAACCAGTACATGCTTCATCGCAGAAAGCTCCTGAGCCAGATGGTCCCCAAGAAATATGCAGGTGAAGTACCCTCTCATTATTTAAACACAAATTATCAAGTAAAAACTAACAATGGAAAGGGGATTCACACGCTCCTTCATGACCAGGGATGAATGGATTCACAAAGGACCCATACTATGTCTCCATCGAGTGTGCTGTACTGGAAGAAGTGAGATGCAACTCAGAAAAGCCACTATTATTTAACTACCAGCTGGGGTGGGTTGAGAAACAAGCTCATGAGCAGTCAGCTTTTTACCCCACTTCATAGCTTGAAACAATGTCAACTTCTGGCCATAAAATATCCAAAAGTGAATGACAGCAGAGTTTTTAATCTACTATTTACAAATCATAAGCAAGTGTGAAAATAATATGAGCCTGCAAATAATCACTATGACTATATTTAAGACTATATTACTAACTGTTCTTCCATTTTAAAAATGAATCATCTTGCTGATCACTTGTTGAGAATTTGAACAAGTTATATCTTCATTATCTAAGGAAATAGATTGCAAAGCATCTTCTACTTATCTCAAAAGATATAAAAACATAATGAACAAAAGACTAATATGTTTCTTATAACAAAAGATAGAATCCAATTCCACTAGTCAACAAAAGTTTATGAGAAACAGTTACCACCTTTTTAACATTCAAGGCAAATTGGTGATTTCTGTTGCAACAGATTACAGTATCATGGGTACCTCTCTCTCAGTTACCACCACAGTGCTACAGGCAGTGGTGCATTTTGAGCAACCTCTACTGGACAAACATGAAAACACATTTGAATAATTCTTGGAAAAGGAGGGTGTCTCGCAAAAAGACTAAGAACATAGCATCCAAATATAACAATTCATAAGGGAACCTGGCAGTTTTTTGTACACAGTTTTTTGTACAAAGCACAAGCTTCGGAATCAGAATGCATCTTTTGATATTTAGGTGGCAGTCACTATATTTTAATGATGTTTTAAGCCCTAATTCTTGTTTAATTATTACTTCTTTATTATGTTTACATGCTTGTTTTAAGCACATCAAACTGCCTTGAATCCCTTATATAAGGAGAAAGGCAGTACCTGTATATAAATGAATGGATGGATGAATAAAATATGTAGCCTTTTCTGCATATGCTCACATTGCTTCAAGCTTTTTCTGAATAAAATGGTATTTTAAATATATTACTGTACATTTACCTTTTCATCTCAACCTATGTGTCTCCACGTCTAATCCTTTTAAAAAAATTCATTACATTAACTGCTACAAAACCCCCAGAAAGCCCATTATATGTACTGTATATTTTCTACATTTGAGAAAAAGAGACAAGAGTCTGATAAAGGATACCCATCTCTATTTTTTTACACACTGGATTTATACAAAATATAGCCATGCATGATGTTTTAAGCCCTTATTCTTGTTTAATTATTACTTCTTTATTATGTTTACATGCTTGTTTTTAAGCACACAAAACTGCTTTGAATCTTTTATATAAGGAGATTCACTACAGTGGAATAAATATATTGTGACAGAAAGAAGCTAAAATGTTCATTACTTACAAATCATAAAAATTAAATGCTACTAATCCAGGGCAATATGTATTTTTTATCTATCAAAGACTACTTTTAATCACAAGCACATTCATTCTAATTTAAAGCCACTGAAAAGCTACCATGAACACCAGGAAGCTTTGGACTCATGTGGCCCTATTCTTCCCTCTTAACTCTTGTACAGCTATAAGGAGGAGACCAGAAGCATCTGCTAGGAGATGAATGGAAATGTTTGCTTCTGTTTTAGATAGAATTCTTCATTATGTTCAAACCCAGGAGAACTCTTGAATAGTTCAAATTATAGTTTGTTAACAAGCTTGAAGCACACATCATGATCTGATTAAATTAAACACTGACTTTAACAGAGTGAGAAACTCTGCTTAATGAAGACATGGGAGCAAAAGCTTCCTACTGCCCCCTTATGGCCAGTCCTGAAGAGAAGACGAGACCATATAGTATTAGTTCACAACTTATTGAAATTCATGCCTGCAATAATAAACTACAGCTTAGTGTTAGGACCAAAGACAAATCACTCATCTCATGCTGCATGATTATAGAGATTATAATTAAGTTAGGTTTGGGCCAGATCGTGCCTACACTTATATTATTTTAGATTAGGATTAATGAAAACTGAAATATGTTACTCTTTTCACAAAAACGTATTGCTATTAAAAGTACAGAGATCATACAAAGAATACATGTATACTATTTTCCTGGAGGTCTATCCAAGTTTTGATTCCAGAATAAAATGTCAAACCATTCATCTTATAATATGTGACTCTGTGAAAGCTGTAAATTATATAAAGAAGGGATTTATGATACTTAACCAAGAGTTTAAATGTCAACTTCCACTGGTCAAAGTATTCCAAGACAGTTTGAGGACAGTTGGTAGGAGACTCCTGATATATCCTCTACCAGGGGGAAGTGAAACCAACTTGGAGGACATATGAGGGGTCTCCTACCAACTCTCATCATACTGAAGATGCTACTTGGATGAGTAGCAAATCATTTCAACCTAATAAGAAAGAAGTCTAGTTACAAGTTATAAGAAAATATGCTAACTAGAAAAGCAGAGGAAGGCCACACTGCCAACCCAAACCACCAAGGCCACACCCTAGCCCTGGCTGAGAAAAGCAGAGGAAGGCCACACTGCCAACTCAAACCACACCCTAGCCCTGGCTACCACAGAATTTCAACAGGGGAACAGGAACCCCCTTGCGCTTACATTTTAGGACATTACATATAGAGTGTGCACACTTTGTTTTTCAGGGAAGTAGGCAAGGACGTTATTTCCATGCTGTTTAAAATCAACAACACAGACCCAGTCTCCCTAGAAAAAACGAACAGTAAGCCACTTCTGAGTAGTCTGTACCTAGCAAACCCTGCAAAGTGTCACTATAAATCAGTTCCTCCTTGACAGGGGCTGGACTTGATGATCCGCAGGATTCCATCCAGATCAGAAGTTCTAAAATAATGATGATATTACTATAGAACTGTGTTGAGGGCATGTAATTACAGTAGGACCCCATATCCACTGGATCAATATCCACTGATTCAGTAAACCACGGTCTGGAAATATTAAATATTTTAAAGGAAAATACCTAGATTTAGGAGTAATCAAATGTAGCTATCAGAACTAGTCACTAAATGGAACCAGACACTACACATTATAGGCAAGGCAGCTTCCTTCCAGAGCAGCGTTGTGGTAAAACTGAGAGCTGGGTTGCCTGGCGAGGCTGGAGGGAGAGTGCAAGCCAAACTGCCTCCTGAGAGAGATTTCCCACCTTCTGCCCCTTCCTGCCTTCCAGCCAGCTCCTTCCTCAAGACTCCTCAGCAAACAAGAAAATGATTTTTTAATTGTCTTTGAAGAAGAAATGCCGCAGAGCCATTGAGATTGTCACCTTCAGTCTTCAGCAGGTTAGTAACGGAGAGAAGACTTCAGCTTGGCTTTTATAAAGATCCCATAAAGATAAAAATTATGGGTACTGGGTGCTACAAATGGTTATAGTGTTTGCTATGAACCACGTTTTTCACCATCCACGGGGGTGGGACTGGAACGGGGGTCCTACTGTATTATAATAAAACTTTATTCATCAATAGTTTTACATGGTCACGAAAACTAACAGAAATTTTCAGGACTATTTTCTGTCAATGTTCAAACATTGTTCATTCACATAATTTTTTAAATTAGAAAATTACACATTGTCTTCCGTACTGGCTTTATTAAGCCAGCAGATGGCAGTGAATCTAAACATTTTCTTCCCTCCATTTGAAGTACAGTGGTGCCTCGTTTAACGAGCGCCCCGTTTAACGATGGATCCGTATAGCGATGGCTTTTTTGCCATCGCTTTTCGGATCACATTACGATTTTGCCTATGGGCACCATTTTCCCGCAGCTGAGCGGCGGGGGCCGTTGGAGGACCCATCCCGCCACTCAGCTCGG